TTAGTTTTATTTTGTTTACAAAAATCACCATCACAACAATTACAGTTACATTAAGTTTGTCTTTGCAATTCACCTCCTCAGATGATCTCAGAGGAGATCAAAAGTACTTGGGTTCAAAAAAGATACGGCAGCCTTCCTTGATGAATTTCAGCTTAACATCAAGAAGTTAATTAGAGAAGTAGAAAGGATTATAATAAAAATAGACATATGTCTATATTATATAATCAAATATGGTTGAAAAAAGATATACTGCGCACATATATATATATATATATATATATATAACACGGTGGAGTAGTAGATAGCAGCTTGGATTGAGAAATTGGAGAGCCAGGTTCAAATTCCAGTCAAATCCATTACATTCACTTATGTGCTTATACTCTTCGGAAAGGTCCCCCATCTATGTTATAAATGACTTCAAATAGGTTTTCATGCTTTTTTCATAGATCAGTTTCAAATTACCTTCCCCTGTATTCTCCAAAATGAAATCACTTTGTACAAGTTTTTCTTTTCAAGATTATTCAAAATATCTGAAGTTTTTTCATTGTAAATTTATTATTCAAAAATGAAAACCTAATTACATACCTAAAAGCTTCATTCTGTTTTTCATTATGTCTATAAAAAAATTTTAAAAAACACAAAATTTTCTTTTATAACATTCCTAAAATTTCTTTAGATTTCCCGAAACATCATGTTGTCTTCCCCATTGACTTGAAGATTTTGACCTGCTTCTGCAAATACTAATTTTCTTAAACTTCATAGCCACAAGTCTTTTATAAATTATTTTATTATTTTTTTTTTTTTTTGCACTCCTTCCTGTTATTATTTAAACATTATTTTCTGTGGATACCCATATTTGAATAGAAATTCTGTTTATTTATTCAACATTATATTTATCTATTTTTGTAGCCTGCCTGAATACCCCAGAAACCTTATTAAAAGAAAAATATGTGCTCTCCAGCAGGTTTGAAACCAGCATTCCCCCATGGCAGGAGAAACCATTATTAGATCCGACATACTTTAGAAGTGTTGATGATAAAGCAAAATTGAATAGTATCTTAGAAATGCAAATATTCCTCAGATTCTCGAAACTTCCATATCTGCTCAGTTTTCTATCCTAAGGCAAAATCTGTCAGATTAATAGATAAAAATCCATCACTTTAAAAATCTCCTTCCTCTTCAAACCAGAAACTAATGAATATACACCCTACATGCACCTTACAAAATTTTGACATGGAGAAGTATATGATAAAATTTTACAAGAAGCCTGGTAGAAAGTGTGATTTAATAATCTTAGTCTGGTACAAGGTCACAAATGTAGAGCATCCTGTTAGGGCTGAACTCAATATATAATAGTAATAGCCTGTTAGACCAAAGTTGGCTGCCAGATTGGACAGCAAGTAACAAATTGGGCTACATTTGAAAATAACCAAGATGAGTGACCTTTAAAATTTTGCATCATAAAATCTTGAAAAAAAATTACTTTCTTTTCATTAATAGTCCAAGTTAGCTCCACCTATTCTAATAAAAGAAAAAAAAAGGGGGGGGTTCCAAATGTTGCAAGTAATCAAATTTAAAATGTATACTTTCAAAAGTCACTCAATGCGGCAACACTGTATTAAACCAGCTTGTTAGCCATCACATCATATTAAGGAGCCTAAGATAGTTACTGATCTTGGCTTAGTCTAACACAATGTTTCTCATCCTTTGTAAGCAATGGCACATCTCAGACAAATTAAATTATCATAGGACACTTAGGAAAAATTTTAAAGGGTATACATTTAAAAATTATGAAATAAAGTTCGGTTTGTTTTGTGGCATATTAACCTCAATGGGTTATTTAATGCTGACAAGATTTTTATTTCTGGTATTAAAATCTATTTTTACACTTTCATAGTGTTTTGAGTCAGGTTGTGGGGTCAACTATGTGCCCATAGCTGGGACCCTAAAAAGTGCTACCACCCCGGCTCAAGGTGGACCTGGGAACACCAGCAATTAAGAGGTGATTCCATGCTCCTCAAAACCTCCTGATCAGAGGCCTTGCTGTTAGACGTAGTTTATCATCATACCCAGGACATGTTATGAAATAAAGACATACATTTCAAAACTTATTTTATTTCAATGGTTCTATTCAACAATTTTTACAGCTTATTTAGTGTGAAACCTGTGCCTAGTGTTTTTTCATGATTTCTTCAATGTTTGATCAAATGCATGATAAGTAGACCCTCATTTCTTGGGCACACTTAAGAAGACCATGCGGCATGGCAGTTGAGAAACACTGGTTTAACACAACATCAAAAGCGTGCAGTGCCTTTAAGAACCACACCTGAACAGAATTACTGGCAAAGAAGACATGCTTGTTTACCAGTACTGTATTTTGCCTTGAGCATTTGATATAAATTAAGTAATGCTTAGTGCTATTTTCAAACCTGAGTAGATGTATCATCCCCAAGTCTGGAGAGGAACAAGCTCCACCAGGTTTATTTTTGCCCAAGACACGTTACGTATAAATAACTCCAAGACTTTCCTGCTGGATTGATCCCCCACTAGAATAAAAAAAAAGCTACATCTACTGTTATTTATCAGGATGGAGGTGTCAAGTATATGACTGATTGGGGGGGGGGACAACATCAGTGCAAGGAACATCTTCAGTATTGCAATATGGAATGTGCAGACATTAGCACAACCAAGAAGACTATGAACAGACATAAACTGAAGCACTTCAACGGGTATGTTATGGGATGGTGTGAAGCAACATGGAGATTGAAGTAGAGCATATTTCTTATTAAACCAACCATTATGTGCCTGGATTGAAATTCTTCTTCAACAGAGCCATCAAAGGATCCATGCTTGGGTGCTATCCTATATACAGCAGACTTTGTTATGCATTTTTAAGACATTATGTGTCATCGGTAGCTTTTAGTTTCATCTCTACTGCAGAGCATCGGACTGAAACCAAAATAGTGGCACATATGAGAAATCACCAGTGTCTTTATAGCCATTTATTTCTCATAAATAGCAATTTCCTATTGTTTTTAAAAAGGGCCCAGCTCAACCAAGCAACCATGTTATTACAATATAGCAGTAAAAGTGTTAAGTAACTAAAAAGGTTTGTTTGTTTTTCTTTTCGTCTATCTTATTCAAGTGCTGTGCAGGTGTAAATACATTAAGCATATCAAATTCAACACATGTTTTCAATTTGTTACCATCATTATTACCCAAACATCCTTCCATATTGACTCATTTCTAACTGGAAATCTCCTTTTTGAGCAAAATAGTTGCTAATTATACCTGCAAGAAATGCAGCTCATAATCTAAAAACTACTTCTGCTGATTTCTGTCTGAATTTTAACAGTATAATTAACTCTTCTAATCGACCTTGTCACAGAATTTTTTTTTCATTTATTACTACTGTTGGCATACATTTCTGAAGGTTATTTAGTTAATAAAATGTGAAGATTTTCTTTTTGCTGAAAACAAATATTAGTTTGCTATTCTAAAGCTTTAAAATTTTTTTTTGTAAGCTGCTTAAAAAAAAAAAATATCAAAGTTACCTGATAGATTTATACATTTATTTACACAAGCATGTGTTTCATGTAGCATTTTTCCAACTTTTCCTTCTTTGTTAATGCACTTAATTCAATGCTTCTTCACAGAACAAAAAAAGAAAGAAATGAACTCAGAAATACAATTCACTGCTAAAAGGTGTTGGCAAAAGGAGATCACTTCATTCTCTGTCTTTAGAAAGTACCTGGCTCCAATTCCCATGGAGTATCTTTTACAATTGGTAAAAGAGACAAAAATTTTAATGGAAATATATTTAGGCTGGAACTGACTAATCCTCACTTTCCAGCTTTAATAAAATCAAAAGCATTTTTTTGGAGGGGGTGATATATTTTCCAATTTATGTCTCCTTTCCCCACTGACAAAATATCACAACCCTGTCAATACTATCGCTATTTTGATAGCAAATGTTCAGAGGAGCTCCATTCCATTGTTCAACCAATTCAGACCTTTACAGCTAAGACCTGCCATGTTGCACCCACAGAGTTAAATCACCCTCATTCTCCATATTCCATTTGTAAGGTAGAAGTTCCATTCAAACAACTTTTTCTCAAGAACTGCTGCTTTGTGGAACAGATTTCCATGTAAATGTTTCCCTAAACTCTACTATCTTGACATACTCTTCAAGTCCAGGGTTAATCATGACCTATCCATTAATATAAACATAATCCTCACTTTCTATTCTTCATTCAGAAATCTACCTTGGGTGGTTCTTGAGCCTTGTATTGAGTAAATATTAGTTAAATAAATAACTAAAAATTTCACATAAAAAATTATGCTAAAAATCGTGTAAGGTGGATCAATAAGTCAATAACCTATATTTAGATAAAAAAAAAAAAAAAAAAGCAAAAACAACCACTCAAACACATACGAAAATATACACATACCTGCATACATTAGATACATTTATGCAAAACACAGTCTCAGCATTTAACAAGCACAAATAAAGAAATATGCAGGAGGATAAAATGAAAACACATAACAGACTTCATCTATGCAGGTCGTCTTTTAAATGTCAGCATATTACGTGGGAGAAGATGAGAAAGGAGATGAACCAATTATAAAGAACCAAATGAGTTAAGCAAAAACAGAGTGGAAAAGACAAGAGCAGCCATAGGGCACCATCACTGCCTTGACACTTTATATTGTTGCCTATCAAACACTTGTCTCATTAAAGAAGCCATTCAATCAGAAGTGGACAGGCCAATAAAGCCATCATTGACTGGCTGCAGTTGTTTGACCACAGGGAATCCACACAAAAGCTGAGAGATAAGCAGGTCTTGCAAGAAAGGAAAGAATAGTTTCCATTTTTATCACATGGTAAAAATTGAAGATAAGAATATTCATTTTTTTTTTTTTTTAACTTAACATTTATTTTCAGTTGCTATTCATTGCAAATACTCAAACTCTATAGTAATGGCATATGGTCTCATCATATTGAAACACCAATTCCCATATGATCACCAAAGTTAAGCAATGTTGTGCCTAGTGAGTACCTAGATGGGTGACTACTTGGGAATAGCAGGTGCTTTAAGTTTGGATGTGGGGGTGGTGTAATGGATAATGACTTGGAATTGTCAATTGGAGAGCTGAGTTCAAATTGCTGTTGGGTCTGTTATATCCACTTATGCACAAATACCTTTGGTAAAAGGTAGGAATCCACCTCTTCTCCCCCCAGCTATTGGTTAATTAGTAAGTCTTGTATCAGTAAACTATTATTATCTCAAAAAAAAAAAAAAAAAAAATAATCAAATAAGAAAACAATCTGAAAAATATTTTCTGTTTCTGGCTTTCAATAACTTGCAAAGGGTTGATAAGCCATAGAAAATCAATAAAATACTTTGTGACACAGGTATGTCTTTTAGAATTATTTATATACTCTGGAATATAAATGTAAAGAAACTACTGTGGTTACAAAATGAGGGATCAGTTTATATACTGATTGTAAAAGAGAATTGATCCCCATATATATATATATATATATATATATATATATATATATATATATGCGCACTTGCACACCTGAAAGCAGAAAAGTACAGGTAACTGTGAATAGTCGTGGTGCATATATATTCGCAGACACAAAAATTACCATTTTGGTGTGTAGGGGCTGTCTCTGCCTCAGATGTCCAACTTCCTGAACTATAAATACCAAATCTAATCATACAGCCTTATTTATTTTTCTCCAAATAACTAAATGCCCCAATCTTAACGTTTTTCCGCATCTTTACAGCTGTGTTCACAACGTTTCAGCCATTGTACATACCGGCTTTCTTCAGGTGATTGGAATTTCAAACTGAACCCTTTATTTTGTCCACCGGGATAGATTGTTCTAGTTCCATGTGCCATGCTTCTTCCGGATGCCTTAGTTATCTCCCTTTAACTCAACTTTCAAAGTTTTTGTTCACCACTGCCATAACCAGGTATTGAACTCACAACTCTTTGGGTCAACTCACTGGATCCAACCAACACTTTTATCCACTGGGCCATGTGTCCTTGAGGACACAATAAAGATGAGGAAAGCAGTCTGAACAATGTAAATAATGTAAATCTCATCGCAGAAATATAGACAGATATTAAGGAACATAGATATTAGCATGAGGAAGGCAATCAGGTTTTACAGTGATTTTGCTCAAAACTGATTCCAACTGTGAATTCAAATGTAACTCAACAAGCCATGATATTCTCTTTGTCTCTGCTGAAAACTAATTTCACAGAACAAACCAACTCTCCAAGCCTCATTTCCTCATGTGTACCAATAATTTCTGCTGTCTCTTTCTAATTGTTAATAGCAAAGTCTTTGTAATTTCTATTCTTTAAACTTCCTAATTACTCATGTGTGTCCATGGTATTCTCAGCATTCATTGATAGAACTACATCGATATTTTTTTTTTAATCATTTCACTCCAGTCAAGGGGATAAAGCCACTAAAACACAAATTGTTACCAAGACTGAAAGAAGAGAAAACTTTATTGAGAAGAAAGGACTATAAACAAAAATAAAATTCTGGAAGACAGAAGATGGTGATCAACATTTCATTTATAAATTTTTGAAGATTGTTGGTGACAAAGAAGTAAGAAACCACCAGCAAGAAGTGTGAGAAAAGAAAATATTAGAATAAAACTTACAGTTACATTTAGCTACTCCAACAGTAAATGATGAGACCTAATTGCCAAACTAGTAGTACCCTTAAATTCCTGCAGTTGAGGTACCAAAACTCTTCAGAACAACTGCCATGAAAGTACATATAGAAAAGACACCAGGAAGCCATATCACTGTGGTAAGAATGTGACTGAAGTCAAGAAGTCAGATCCACATATTATTAAAAGGACTTAATTTTCCTTATGTTTTCTGATGTTTAACCATTATTTTTTGTGTGTAGCAGTAATCCAAATTTTTCTTGGACTCAAAGAAAAATGTGGATTACTACTACACACAAAAGACAATGGTTAAACATTAGAAAACATAAGGAAAATTAATTCCTTTTAATAATGTGGAAATAACCAATCTTTGCCTGATGAAAATTGCAAGACCAGAAACACATGTAGCAAAAATATGGAAAATAAAGTATAATACATATTTAAAAAAATCCATTATTTTAACCAAAAACGTTTGTGGCTTCTCTCTTCTCTTCTCTAATATTATATATATATATATATATATATATGTGTGTGTGTGCATGATATATATATATATATTGTTGAAGCTTAAATAAGCATGGAATAATACAACACAAAATGTACGTTAACAAAATGTATTGAAACAAAGAATAGGTACACAATATTTACAGTTAGTTTGGTATATTCTTGGGAAGACTGTTCCTGCATAATGGGTTGACTAAATCAGTCGGGCAGAGTCTCTAGATTCAATTTCTTAATCTCTACTATCTTCCCGTCTTCGGTACCAACCCATATTTATATGGTCGGTAGTCCGCTTATGTAAATTAGGTGTATCATACACAACATATATATATATATATATATTATTCTTAATAGAAATCTTACAAGTATAAGAAACTATACTTGCTTGGAAAACCTTCGGTATATAGGTTTAATATATATATATATATATATATATATATATATATATATATATATATCAGAAAGAGATTACATATATCAAAAGACTAAAGAAGAGAGGCACACTGACAGAAGATGAGACAAAAGAGATGATGGAAAAAGAGAAAGGTAAAGAGTGAGGGAGGAGGAGAAAAAAGAGAAAAGTGTAAAGAGAAGGAAAGATAAAGAGATTCAAAGAAAGGAGGACACATAGGAAAGAGAAATATGGTTAAGCCAGATGGAAAGAAAAGCTAAAAGAAACTAATTAAACAAAAACAAATTGCTAACTTTATGCTGATACTAAATGCTTGTCTAAAAAGGGTGTAGCTAACATTATGTACCTTGTAAGATTGGCTACATTCCATGCCCATAGCATTCACCCACCTGCTTTCTCAGATGGTGAAAACCAAGACCTGATAACTCTGATAAAATGTAGAACTTTTTTCTAAAAATTCCAGTGGAATTCACAAAATAATATTAAACAACAGTAGATTTATATTACAAAAAAAAGTTTCCTGCTCTTTTTTTAAACACAACCTTTTCTGATATATATATAAAACCAATATAAGTGGATAAATTAATTTATACTATGATGATGAAAAAGGGATTTCAAAATCTTTCAGCAAATATGGACAAGCATACCCTCGTAATATGACAGATTATCAAAAGGATGCTTTTCCCATGACACTGCTTTTTTTTTTAACTACCATTACTTTTCAGTAATGTTTGTTTTAAAAAGCAATGATTAGAATTGGAATAGAACTTAAACATAGGATGAAAGTGAATTTAAACATTTTTTTTTGGTTTTTGAGAATTTACAACAAAAATATTAAACACTTCCCAGATATTTAAATTGTAGTACTTGTTTGACTTTTGTTTTTCTAATTTGTAATTTATATATTTTAACAACAACCAAGCATCCCGTTTTTTTACAATTGATAGTTACAGAGGAAATTTCCATCATTTACACTCACCAGACAACTAACAGATTGATTTTGTTTTTTATGGCTTACCAACCCTTGTGGTTTATTTAAAGCCAAAACTTATTTCAGATTCTGGAGCCAGATAAATGCAATGGTTTGGTTTATAGCATATCAACCACAATGGGTTATTTAATGCCAACAAAATTTTTATTGTTGGTAATTTTTTTTTTTTTTTTTTTTTTAAAACACGTATTGCTAGTAATATTTTTCCTTCAAAAAACTATATCTGGTAATATTTTTTTCCAAAAATGTATAGCTGGTAATATTTTTTTTTTCAAAAAAGTATTGCTGGTAATAAATTTAAAAAAAAAAATTTATTGCTAGTAACAATTTTTTTACAAAGTATTTCTGGTATTAAGACCTATTTTTAAGTTTTCATAGTGTTTTGACCACAGTTTGGAGGTTAACTATTTGCCCATAGCTGGGACCCTAACAGGTGCTACCACTCTGGGTCAGGGTGGACCTGGGAACACCAGCAATTAAGAGATTAATTGCTGTTAGATGTAGTTTATCATCTTACCCAGGATGGTAAATGTAATGATGGAAATTGCTGTCATTTAAGTTAATAGTTGTTATGGAGTAGCTGAACACCCCCACACAATGGACTGGTATAAAACTGTTGAAACAGCACTCTCTCTTACTGAGGGAGAGGAGTTTTCCTTGGGAAAAGCATAAATGCAATCCTTCCTGTTGCTGAGGTTGGGAGAAACACCTAAACAATAGCTCTCCCAGCTGCTATGGGATTAATAGGTAGAGAAAGAAAATGAGACAAGGAACAAAATGAAACTGCCTTAGAAGGTACAGCAACTTTAGGGACAAAATTCCAACAGGATCGACTTCACAAGACACCATTGTCTTGCCCATTTCTAGTTTTCTCATCAGTTTTATTGACAGGAAATGCTGACAGAAACCCAGATCTAGACAAGTTGCAGAGAGGCTTGTATTTGAACATGCCAAACTGTCCCACTGCTAATGGGGAAAACCCGAATGTAACTGGTCTTGACAGCCATATCCACATGAAATCTGGGAATCTGGGGACACTTTTGCATCTGTACTAATGTGTACTTGCCAGACTTCCAGGTAACCCCATTGTAGCCTTGTGTACCAAATACCAGGACAATTTCCTTCAATCCCCACTACAAAGTGGATGCAGGTTCACACCCTATCAAAGAGTACATTTTCTTTAAGCTTTCCCAAGTGCTCAGACCAATAGATGTAATACACATTGTTTAAAATAGAAAATGTGACATCTATTTCAAAGATGAGTAACTGCTAAAAATAACATTTGAATATATATATATATATATATATATATATATATATATATATAAGCCATACAACACTGATCATGCACCCCCATATAGGTCCCATGTTAATCAGATGGATGTCTTCTGCAAAAATTATCTCTGTGTGATCTGTGGCTATATTTTTGACAATAGTGTGTCCAATGCTGATCTTCTCACAAAATGCAACATTGGTGGAATTGAGA